TCCTAAAATGAGTTTTAGCCTATGAATAGAAAGATTGGCATGAAAGCAGCAGCAGTAGTGAGCCTGACTAAAAATAAATGCCCTTGGCGGCCCCGAAGTGGCGAACCAAGTGGACTGAAGAAATTCCTCTAGATAACAGCCTTGTGCTCCGGCAAGGAGGAGAGGGAGAGCCGTCGGACTCCTTGGGCCTGCCAGTCCCTGTGGAGCGGCAGCCGGAGCCACTCGGTCCAAGTTCAAGTTCAGGTCTGCGCCTGATACCCAGAACCTCCCTGTAGTCTGGGCAGCTCGGAGCCCTCTAGGGAAATGCATGGCCCACTCAGAAGGCTGGGTGTTTACTAGAAGGTCTATGCAGTTCTCCACCGAAGCTTCCCTGTTGCTCTTCCCCGTTAACCCTTGCAGGGACAGTCAGACAGCAGCAGGCTGACTTCTCTATGCATGTAAACCCCCGAGTTTCTTGGAGCCAGTGACCTGCCAACAGGGTAGCAGCACTCACTCCTTAGGTAAGCAAGGCTCCTGGGACAAGGCACCTTGATGTCAAAAGTTTGCAGCATCTGATTCTCCCCGTGCGAGGGACAGAATTAACGAGTTAGCCTCTGACACTCCTGGGCCTTCATTCATTACAAATGCGAACAGCTGTGACGACGTACATATGTGACGAGGTGCCAGTGACTTCCAACCGCCCCCAACACCGACCCAGAGGGGCAGGGATATTCATTCTAAGTATTAGAGCTGAAAGAAAACCCAGATGGAGGCCAACAGTTCGATTTCTTAAAGCAATAGAAAGAACCCTTTCCAAATGCTTACACAAAACCCTAGTATTGAAACAGAAAACCTTCCTGGTTGAAACAGGCAAAACACACAGGGTTCCCCACAGTCGCAGCCTTTTTTCCCCAACTTTAACCATACTTTTGGTGCTAAAGCATTCCTATGAAACCCTGTGGCTTTGAGGAACCTGCTAAAAACCACATTTTTCCCCCACTGTTCACCTTTCTGAGCAGATAGGTCTGGGGATACAGGCTGCCTAGAGCTTCTACTTCTAGGGTCATTTTTTGAGGCATTGGTGGTTTTAGCTTAGTCTAAGAATTAAAAGCACCGGGGCGGGGGGCAGGGCAGGTGTCTGGGTGACCCAGTCAGCTGAGCATCCCACTCTTGGTTTCGGCCCAGGTCGTGATCTCAGAGTCATGAGGTCAAGCCCCACGTCGGGCTTCAAGCTCAGTGCAGAGTCTGCTTAGAACTCTCTCTCCCCCACCCTCTCCCCCTCTCCTCCCCTCCTACTCTCTCTCTGAAATAAGTAAGTCTTGGGGGGAAAAAAAATCCACAAAAGCACCTCGGGTGGAGATGATTTCAAGCTCAGCCTGTTCCCTTTATGAAAAGAGAATGCTGAACCTGAGACGTAACTGTCATGGATGAAAATAGACTTTGGGTCCACAACCCCGTAATCCCCCAAAGCTCTGGAAACCCAAAGCTGCTTAACTTGTTTGGTGCTGTCGGTCCTCCTGGAGGCTCTGTAAAACGTCATTCCCAGCTGAGCCCCGGAGGTGTGAGGGAGAATCTTCTTGAACCTTGGACAGAAGACGCACAGCCCTGCAGTCTGGCTGAGGTCCCAGTACCGGGGGGGGGGGGGGGGGCGGGGGGCTCTGGCCACTTTGCAGGGTGGGGAGTTCAACGGAACCAGGAGCGCTTTCTGCCTGGGAGTAGTCTGTTATAACAGAGTCCTTAGATAACAAGAAACTGAGGCACAGCCATCAGGCCTATAGTCTTTACTTACCTCTCTTTAAAGAGAGGGTCCTTTAGAAAGGCAGCCAGCCAGACTTAGCCCCTGTGACCCCCGCCCTGCTCATCTAGTCAAGGAGAAGCAACATGCAGTATTCTTCTTCCCTTCTCCCCCGCACCGTTCTCCCTAAATGCAGAGCCCTGCGAGTGTCCTGGCGAAAACACAGCTTTAAGATAACTGGGCAGAAGGTTTAGGAAAATCAGGCGAAGTGGCAGTATCTCAGATATGCAAAGGTAGAAATGAAACTCCTTTTCGTCTTACGGTATTGGAATAAACACCAAGAGCATGCTTGTCTCTCTGCCCTGAAACTGTTCAGTATTGACTTGGAAGCACTGCTTCTGGGATTTTAATATCATTTATTATTGCGCACAATTAGTTTGCTACAACTAGGTTCAGAGACCCTCTTGGAGATGCTGGTGCGCTGAACGCCAGCCTTATTTTACCTGTGTGCCTGTATTTGATCGCAGGCCGGCTTGAGAGTCTAGGAAATCTGTAGCTTCTGAAGTCAATTTTAAGATCTTCAGTGCCTACACCCCTGTCGAAGCCTGATTATGTGCCTACCTTTTTTTTTTTTTAAGATTTTATTTATTTATTTGACAGACAGAGATCACAAGTAGGCAGAGAGGCAGGCAGAGAGAGAGAGAGGAGGAATCAGGCTCCCTGCTGAGCAGAGACCCCAGTGCAGGGCTTGATCCCAGGACCCTGGGATCATGACCTGAGCTGAAGGCAGAGGTTAAACCCACAGAGCCACCCAGGCGCCCCTGTGCCTACCTTTTTGAGTGTGTTGATATCAGTGTCTGAATTTTTGTCTCTTTTTCACTGAGCAAACTTTGGTATTGAAAACCTTTAAAAGTAATTCAGAGCCAAAGATACAGATGTAGTGAAAAGAAGGGCCACATGCACCCCAATGTTCGTGGTAGCAATGGCCACAGTTGCCAAACTGTGGAAGAGAGTAGTGATTCCCTTCAACAGGTGGATGGATAAAGAAGATGTGGTCCATATACACGATGGAATATTAGGCCTCCATCAGAAAGGATGAATATCCAACTTTTGAGTCAACATGGATGGGAGTAGAGGAGATTATGCTGAGTGAAGTAAGTCAAGCAGAGAGAGTCCATTATCATATGGTTTCACTTATATGTGGAACATAAGGAATAGCATAGAGGACATTAGGAGAAGGAAGGGAAAAGTGAATTGGGGGAAATCAGAGGCGGAAATGAACCATGGGAGACTATGGACTCTGGGAAACAAACTGAGGGTTTCAGAGGGGAGGGTGGTGGGGGGATGGGTGAGCCTGGTGATGGGTATCAAGGAGGGCACGGATTGCATGGAGCACTGGGTGTTACACGCAGACAGTGAATCATGGAGCACTGCATCAAAAACTGATGATGTACTGTATGGTGACTAACATAACACAGTAAAAAAAAAAAAATTCGGAGCCTCCTAACCGCAGCCTGTTCTCTCCAACTAGATTTCCGTCGATGTTGTCTGACGGCAAATCGCATGCTTGCTTCTTTTTAAATGAAGTGCTCTAAGTAGGTTCTTAGCACAGCTCTCAAAGTTCGGGGGATAGAGAACTGAATCCGGGGCGCTGCTACAGCTCGCCCCAGCACGGAGAACACGGACAAGCTCTTGAGATTACAGTGATGGGGGGGGAGGCAGCTGCTTCTCCTACTCAGTTGAACAGGATTAAAACCAGCCCCTGACATTTCCTGCCAACCTCTACCCTCCTCAATCCCTGATATCTATGCCCAGTAAGATACTTGTGGAATGAACAAATGGTATGAAACAGAGATAAATGCCACCAAAATCTACTGCTTTCTATCTGGATCCCAGCTTCACGGGACGCCTGGGAGCAGAGTGGCACACACGGTTTACGAAAACACTGCGTTCCCGAGAACGCCACCACCCCCGTATGGGGGTGACTTGGACCGCATTCTCATCTCCTTGGGAGTTAGCCACAAAGCATAGGCTGCCCCCAGAGAGCCGGGAGTAGCTGACAGTCGGGAGGCCAATGGGAGTGTTGTGTGCCCAGCACAAGAGTTCCAGCCCGTGCTTGTCACCGGCGCGTCTGTTCTTAAACCAGCTGCTGATGCTGGAAGGTGGCAGGAAGTCGGAAGGCTTTCTGCTTGGATAGGCCTCCCTCTGTCATCTGCAGGAGCTCTGAGGCACCCAAATATTTGCAGTCTATGTCTGTTAAGCAGCTAGACCCTTGCCTTGTTGCTCAAAGAAATCACCCCTCCAGATAGGCACACGTCTGGATAGGAAACACCCGAACGGTAGCTGTCCCGTGCCAGGCAAGGACAAAAAACAAAACTACGTGCTCTGCTTACAAGGATTCATTCATGCCACCCTGTGAATTAAACATCCATACATCAAACATAGGAACTCAGAGAGTTAGAGGAAGAGAATCCAGTCTGTGGCTCTCCCTTGCTTTCATTCTCTTCCGTCGCTAAGAATGATCTCCCTTTACCTCTCAACTGTCCCTTCTTGATTTTTATCCCCAAGGTGTTTTGTAAGCGTATCTTTTTCTAATTAGACCTCAAATTCGAAGACAAGGAGCCAAGCATTCTACCTCTGTTCAGCCCCTCCTTGTGGCCCCTTGTAAATCTCCCTCAGTTTGCCTGTAATGGGAACATCATCCGTGAACCGCATAGAATGTGGCCAAGAAAGGCTATGAAAGGATTTGGATTTGGCTGTATTATAGCTACACTCGTGAGTTCAGCAAATGAGGGAAATGAGGCCACGGGCAGGTGAGTCCCATCCAACTCCCTGCGGCCTCTGGGCCATTGAGGTTCCTTTTCTCTTGGTCTGACCCCACTGGTCCAGAATCACTACTCCAGCCACCATGCCCAGTTTTCAGGAGTCAGAAAGGAATGAAGGAAAATGGGCCCCCATCCCTTTGACAATATTTCCCAGAAGTTCTATCTTACCATTCCTATTTATATTCCACTAGCCAGACCTTAGCCCCATCCCAGGCTGTGCCTCATTGCAAGAGAGGCTGGGAAATCTAGTCTTCTCCAGACGGCATTTGCCCTGCTAAGAACTCAATAACTGTCCATCACTGCCCCTGTGCCCGCCCAGCCCTGCGACTAGAATATTCTACCCTGCTGAGTCTGCAGCGGTCCCTCCGAGAGGGACCGTATCCACGGGTTTTGGGTAACTTGCATCCCTAACTTCCCACGCTTGCATCCCAGCTTAGCTAAGTGCTCCCTCTTGATTTTAGGAAGAAAAGCCAAATGTGAACCCTCCCAATTCCAGTGCACAAACGGCCGCTGTATTACGTTGCTGTGGAAATGCGACGGGGACGAAGACTGCGCTGACGGCAGTGATGAAAAGAACTGTGGTGAGTAAGGAGCCTGACAGTGTCCTGGGCCACCTCACAAGGGTGCGCACACGTCACTGAACGTGATGCTCTGAAAATAACGCAATTCTGAAAATAAGAGGCTGCTCGTAAGAACTGCTTTGAACCCCAGGGTCCCAAGAGTCTATACATCCTGTTCTAGAGCAGTCTGGTTCAGTGTTTGACACGGGACTACCAGCCTGTGTGTGGAATGTTGCCGATCGAGCGCGGGTCCTTGGAAATGGCAGGACCTGGTTTATCGTAGGTCAGGCAGACATTTGGTATGGGAAGCTAGGAGAGGGGATGGGAGGACTAGAAGTAGAGACAGAAGCTTGCTTAGAACAGACTTTCTTCTTATAATTCTCAAATAGCCCTGATACCCCCAAAAAGAAAGCATCTATTGTAGGCAGAGACTTTTTAAGTCATGAATAGTAAGAAATCCCCTTAGGTTTCAGCAGGTTCATAAACTCCTGACATAGAAACTCCAGGCCAGGGCAGATCACAGATCAGATAAGGATATTTAAAAAGCCTCTGCCTACAATAGATGCTAATTCTAAAGCTTTAGGGCAGGGCAGAAGACAATCTTTCCCCAAGAGAACGGGGATAGACCGTCATGCCTACTGGTATGCACATAACCACAATGACCAAAAGATCATGGTGAGAAATGCCTTATGTTGAGCCACAACAGCTGAGAACTACATGTCAACATGGCCTTTAGGTTCTCTTGAATACATGCTGAAGGTTACTTTTTGATCCTTTTGTTCTTTGGTGTAAAAATCCTGAAACAATATTGTATGGATGTCAGTGACAACATGGTGATTTGCCTTCTAAAGGATGTTATATAAAGATGTCCACTCTATAAACTAGAAATACAGAAGAAAAATAGAAGGTAAATGCAGGTAGCTTCAAGTGCCATCTCGTTATGCCCTCCCCTGCTTCTTCATGCGTCATTACAAAAATGGCAGCACGTAGGCATCATGGCACTTGTCTTACGCTGAGCAGCGTCATGGGAGCTCACGATGGGAAAACCCATTGTTCTTAGAAAGTAATTATTCTCGTGTTTCAGAAGCCTGCTTTGGCCATCTGACTACCTTAGTAGCAGCTAACCTGGGTCATCTTAGGGATCACTGCTGGCTCTTCCTAAAATAGTCTCCACATAAATAACTTCTAGACACACAGAAGGAGGGTTTGGAAGAGGTAAGAGGGTAAATATGTGTACTCGAAATCCCATGAAATGGGAAAAATTAAATATATCCTTGGCCAGCACTGGTCTCTGCCTCCTGGGTATGCAGGTAGAGAAGGAGAGTGGGAACATTGCTCAGGGAAGCTCTGCATGTTTATTTTGAGATGTTCCTCCCTGGAAGGGAAACGGGTGCACAGTTGCTTAAAACTCGTAAAGCCACTTAGTATTTTTCCTGCCCGCCGTCTTGATATTGAACTGGGCTATAGTGTCAGCAGAGCTGTTTCTTTCAGGCATGTCAACCAGCATTTTTAGTCAACTGCCGCTTGGAATCCACAAGTCATGTGTTCCCCTCAGCACCCCCCTCCCCAACTCAGTCTGTTACAAGCACAAGGCTCACCGGATTAATGAGTAACGTAGACCCTCTGAGCGGGTAACTGGTAGACCTCTTCCCCTGTGACACACCTACATTTCTATCCATCTCTTAAGGCCCAATTCAAACAGCCTTTCTTTAACCTCCCAGTCTGTGTTCAGAACGGAGAGAGAGGAACTCTGGCAAGTTTCTGTCCCTGTTTATCATTAGTATCAGCACTTGGTAGGACAGCCGTCTTGCCTACTCCCTTAACATTTTATACATCCTCAGACCACGTGGTCTCTTTACAATGATTCCCCCCATCCTCTTCAGAGGACCACCGCAGGCTGAACTGCCGCAAACTAGCTCCGCAGACACTCCCTCACCTTCCGACACGCTCAGGAGCGTGCGAGCCTGGATGTCGTTTTCACCATTAATACTGGGGTTTGAGCGTTTCCGTGATTTTTAGAAACAGGTGTGAATCTAAGAGCTAAGGTGGCCTTTCTTGTTTCCTTGGCTACACAATTCATGGGGAAGAATTATCCCTTTTGGATCATCAGGATTTGTCACCACATCTTTTGAGTTGTCAGAATGGGCGATAATCACTCTATTTCCCTGTTGCGCCGTGTCCGAGGCGGGGGGTGGGGGGCTGGGGGCAGCGATTACACTCTGCAAGTTGTCCCTAGTTCAGACCCCAGACTTGAAGCAATCCCTTTCTAGTTCTTAGCAAACTGTCATCTTTTGGCTGATTTGCCATTACAGAATATTCGTTAGGGAAGAAGAGTGAAAACTGGAAATTTAGGCACGTGAGCAAGGAAGAATGCAGCTTGGGAAGGAGGAGCCTAGAACACCCTATGTGGCTGCTTACGGAGACCCTCCCTGCTGTCTCTGACTACTTGGTGGGCGAGTGACCAAGCTGCCCAATTGGCTTAGGAGAGTCCAGATTTATGCCTGTCTTCCCGGCATACTTCTCGGTGTCCGCACTCCGCTGATTGTCCCATTTTGGACAAGTTGCATGGTCACCAGAATCACAGGAGAAAAGGCCTGCCCTTGTTGGAATTAGTAGCAGAATTGATACCTTTTTCAGGTGATTTGTCACTCTAACCCTCATGTGGGGACATTGGCAGCCCCCACAGCATCTTCTGTGACTTTTAGTTGATGTTAGTCCAACTCTTGGATTCTAAATGTGACCTCGTTTATACCCGGGCTTAAACGTTCTCCTGGGGTTGCAAGATAAGGAGCAACCCCTGTCTTACCATGACTTCCATATCTCCCAACTCTCTCAAATGACCATCTTGCTCCTCTGGAGAAAAAAACAAAAACCAAAAAAAAAAAAAGAAAAAAGATTTTTCTAGTGTTCGCCTGGATATTGGCAGTTTAATGCTAGCAGGCTCCATTCTGTTGTTGGAGTAAAAGGTGTCAACAGGCAGTTTCACCCCCAGTGGGAATATCAGCTCTCGGGTGCCTACGACTTTAACCCCACCGATCAACTTTCGTAGTGAAGAAGACGTGTGCCGAGTCAGACTTTGTGTGCAACAATGGCCAGTGCGTCCCCAGCCGGTGGCAGTGTGACGGGGATCCCGACTGCGAAGACGGCTCTGATGAAAACCCAGAACAGTGCCGTGAGTGATTTGCTTTGGACCATAACTCTCCCAGGCTGTTTCGTGTTTTGTAGCTCTAAGTCTTATTTCATCCAAAACTTGGTTGTAATTTCCCTTGGCCTGCCTTGATGTGTGGGCCAGTGGACTCCAAGGTCAGTCAAGTCATTAACAAGTTGATAAGTGTCTATTAAAGAATATTGTCCCTAGTCTAACAAGACTGACATTCTCTTGGGTAGCTTCGCTATTGAATGTTTAAGACCGAAGCCAGCCGATTTGATTAAGAACTCCTTGACTAGGTGCATAGATTTCAAATATTTTGTAATCATGACTCCAAGCAGATGGTACTCTGGTCCTGGAAGCTAAGTTGAGGTAGGAGGTTCCCCACTTTGGGCCCAGGATAAGCTTTTAGATGTACAGCTTATGTTATACACACACACACACACACACACACACACACACACACACACACACATATAGTCCATTACTGAAGGGGTAAGGTGGCTAGAAATAGGGTGACATCATGATTTTTTAACAAACCTCTTACCTAAGGTTATTAAAGTAGGGTAAAACTTACAGCTTATTCTTAAATAAGAAAAATGTCATAGGTATGCCACTGTATATCTGTGTCCTTAGGCAGATAGCCAGGAAGAGGTCTGTGACATCACAGAGGATGAGGATTTGGGACAGCTAAATTAGGATCCTTTGAATGTCATGGTGAAGAAAGTCTTGGAATTCATTTCGAAGCAGTCGAGAGCTGTTGAAACACGAAAAGTGCCAATCTCATGGGAACCAGGTTTAGGTCTGGAATAAGGATGACAAAACTCAGTGGAGCAGAAAGGAAGATAAATGCATCAATTTCAGTTTTCGAGGCAAGGAGTCAGGGGAGCGATAAGAACATTGGTCACGGCAGGTCAGATCACCTCCAGGAAAGCGCAGTTGCCCAGAGACATGGCCCTGGGTTTTAGCGGAGAGTGACCCAGTGAGGTGAGGAACCAGGACGGGGTCCCCATTTGGGCAAAGCTCCTGCAGGTCACGAGGAACATTTAAAGGAATCTAGTCAGGAGGCTTCCCAGGTGTTAGGTCATCTAGCCTTTTGGGAAGTGGCCATTAGGTGACCTTATGTGGTATCTGACAGATCACAAACAAACAAAAAAAGGTCAAGGAGCAGGCCCGCCGATAAGCCTAACTGTGCCAAATAAAACAGAAGCCAGAGCTGAGCACGCCACGGAACCTTGAAGGAGGAACGCGGTCGAGGCTCTCCGGGGTCCCGCTGGGCAGCACCGGCTGGCATGGCTTCCACTAGTAGGTCGCATCTCGCCCCTTCGCCAGGCCACCGAGGGACAGGTGTGAGCCCAGGCAGGCAGCGCGGGACCAGCTGTGTGGCACGGAGGCGTGGGGGAGGCTCTTTTGAGACTGTATATCATCAACAGATATGAGAACATGCCGCATAAACGAAATCAGCTGTGGCGCCCGGTCCACTCAGTGTATCCCCGTGTCCTGGAGGTGTGATGGTGAAAATGATTGTGACAGTGGCGAAGATGAAGAGAACTGTGGTAAGAAGACTGGTGTCGAGTGGCTTATCCCCGAGACCCTTTTGCTCAAAGAGAAGGGTGGGCAGGGGGAGAAGCTCCCTCGAGTGTGAAGATGCGGTTCCGGTGACTCGCTTTTCGGTGACTTCGCTGTGCGCTCAGCTGCTTGGCCTTCGTTACTGCCCTAAAACTCTGGCAGGAGTCCCCCGGTGACTGGCCACTGCTTGCTCTGGTGTTCCTCCTAGGCAGATAGACGGGAGACGGTAAGTCGTTCAGGGCACTGCCACCCAGAATAGGTCAGTGAAGCCACAGCGGTGTGGCGTCAGTGTCTGTTAGGACGGGGGGACCTGGGCCTTCCTCACGTGGGCTCAGCACAGCCGGAAGGGGACTAGGGCCAGCAAGCTCACGCCGAGGTCTCAAGTGGGTCTGCTTCTTGGAATACATGACCTGAGTAGCCTACAAGGAACTTGCGCTTGCCTCCGAGCTAGATTCTCTTTGAGCCTTTCCGAAGGTTAACCTGGCCCAGAAGCGTTAGCTCTCATCTTGCCAGCGGAGACCCAGAGAAAACCCTGCCCAGCTGACGGTCCTTTCTGGTCTCTTCCCATAGTTCCTGCCTGTAAATACGAGCTCTGTTTCATAGGCTTTCATGTTTCTGTTTCTGGGAAATGTGTAATAAAAAGTGCCGTGCGTTCCGGGCAAGGCCCTGGGAATTATCTGGGTTGAACAAACATTGCTGTGAGCACTCTTTCAAGCTACCGCCCTTTTATAGGGCTCCCGGAGCGACAGCTCCCAGGGCTGACAAGCACAGGCCTCCCGCTGCAGCAGAGTACTAGTGAGCTGAGCATGCTTGTACTCCGCACACGTCTCGTGTGGAGAAGTCGACTTCTGACGTCGATACCACTGCACCTAGTCCAATGAGTTTCGGTTCAATCTTAGAGTTGAGCTTCATGTATTGGTGAGCCCCAGAGCTACCAAGTATCTCCCTCCTGAAACTAGACTTTGCTTCCCAAGAGAGTCGTGGTCTCTACCCGAATTACCAGCAACTTGTGACCTTGATTCATTCGGCAGGAATTTGAGTCCAAGTACAAACTGGCTAGTCTGCCTGGTTTATCATCATTAGCGGATCGGGCGGTGAGGACTGAGATAGATTCCAGCCCAAGCAGTGACTTTCTAACACTTGAAAATATTTAAGATCTGTTATTCCTGATCCTGGTTTGAGGGACCAACAGAGAAGGAACCACGTATGGTAGCATAACATAATGGCTGGTTTGGGTTGATCGAGTCATAATGCTTCTGATGAGTCCACACTTGCCTGCATACCCGATACGTGCTGTTCTCAACTGATAACCTGGACCCACGAGCTGTCTGTCCATTTAGAGGTAGCTGGGTCTTTGCCATTCCAAATGGAATGCCCCAGTCAGGTTTAAGTTCTTCATCGCTGTCCCGTTAGGAATCTGTTGTGGTTCTCACTTCAAATTAACTTCTAAGCCTTCAGCAGTTCTCTTGGTCCTTTCTTTCCCTTCTTACTCAAGAGCCCCTGCATCTTGTCCATACTGAGGCTGCGTGCGAGTACCCCAGGAACTCAGATGCGAACAGAATGCCACCTTAGCTTTTCAGTGAAGCTGGGAGAGCTGGCTAGGGGGCGTGATGAGACCCCGCACACTGCGCTGTGCGGTGAGAGTCGGGAAGCCAGGACCCGTCCCGCACGCTCAGCGATGTCTGCCCTCTCCCCGCTGCAGGGAACATTACGTGCAGCCCCGACGAGTTCACCTGCTCCAGCGGCCGCTGCATCTCCAGGAATTTCGTCTGCAACGGCCAGGACGACTGCAGCGACGGCAGCGACGAGCTGGCGTGCGCGCCCGCCACGTGCGGCGCGCACGAGTTCCAGTGCGGCACCTCCTCCTGCATCCCCCTCAGCTGGGTGTGCGACGACGACGCCGACTGCTCCGACCAGTCCGACGAGTCGCTGGAGCAGTGCGGCCGCCAGCCCGTGATGCACGCCAAGTGCCCGGCCAGCGAGACCCAGTGCGGCTCCGGCGAGTGCATCCACAAGAAGTGGCGCTGCGATGGGGACCCCGACTGCAAAGACGGCAGTGACGAGGTCAACTGTCGTAAGTAGCCTTCTCAGTGGTCTGCTCCGTGCCCGCTGCGGGGGTCCGCCTGGACCGTGTGGCTGACCCTCCCTCTTCCTCCCCCCGCCCCCACCGCAGCTTCGCGCACCTGCCGCCCTGACCAGTTCGAGTGCGAGGACGGGAGCTGCATCCACGGCAGCAGGCAGTGCAATGGCATCCGGGACTGCGTGGACGGCTCTGACGAGGTCAACTGCAAAAACGGTGAGGGCCTCCTCCTGGGGGGGAGTCAGAGGACTGCTGGGGCAGCCCCACCAATAGACTCTTCGCTTTTGTGTTTCTCCTTGTAGTCAATCAGTGCTTGGGCCCTGGCAAGTTCAAGTGCAGAAGTGGGGAGTGCATAGATATCGGTAAAGTATGTAACCAGGAGCAGGACTGCAGGGACTGGAGTGACGAGCCCCTGAAAGAATGTCGTAAGTGGAGGGCTTGCCTGAGCACAGAGTGGGGAAGGTTCACCACATCGCCCCTAGCTAATGCTGTGGGGACCTCGCTCAGGGCCTGTCACACCCCTTCTAAGGAACCAAGTTCTGTGGTTGGGCTTCAGAGTGGCATTTTTATGCCTTCAAAGTTGAAGCAGTCACAAGCTTGTTCATAGCTTCACCTCCTTAAAGATAACTGATCGGCTGTAGGACACTTGACTCCTACGACTAAGCCAGCTGGTAACCTGCAAAGCAGACTGGGTTTACTCTTCCCCCAAACACTCTGAGATGCGTATCTTAAAAGCAAATTATTAGACCTTAGGAAATTCATGGGTTTGACCAGACTATCTCGATAAGTTATCGCAAAAAGCCCAGAGTTTAAACGTTAACAGGGGCAAAAATCGATTTGAAATAAGGTACGGGGTAACTCTGGTCCCTTTTTCTTCCAGATGTAAATGAATGCTTGGTTAATAATGGCGGCTGTTCTCACATCTGCAAAGACCTCGTGATAGGCTACGAATGTGACTGCGCAGCTGGGTTTGAACTGATAGATAAGAAAATCTGCGGAGGTGAGTCCGGAAGGGAGCCTCATCCCTGGGGGGGCGGGGGAGAGAAGCACGGAAACGACAGTATCTTGCTGTAGGTCATCTAGGCACGAAAGACTAATCCTAATTTCCCTCCTAGATATTGATGAATGCCAAAACCCGGGAATCTGCAGCCAAATTTGTATCAACTTAAAAGGCGGTTACAAGTGTGAATGTAGTCGGGGCTATCAGATGGATCTTGCCACTGGCGTGTGCAAGGCAGTAGGTAAATGGACTTGGACTGGTGTTGCTCTGGTCCCTTTAGGAGTAAGCGCTTACGAAGCATACAGCCACTGACCCAAGAGTCAGCTCAATTACAGAATTAAAATAGTACAGCTCCCCCTGACTTGGGATGGGGTCACAACCCAATAAACCCATTGTAAGTTGAAAATATCCCAAGTCAAAAATGCATTTAATATACCCAACCTACCAAATACCTCAGTTTAGTCAAGCCTGCCTTCAATACACTCAGAACTCTTACATCAGCTTATAGCTGGGCAATGTCATCTAACACAAAGCCCAGGAAGTATGGAATGTCTCATGTAGCTTACCAAGTACCATACTGAAAGGGAGAAGCGGAACGGCTGCGTGGGTACAGATGGGTGTCAGCGCATCGGGACTCACGTCTCCGTGATCATGGGGGCTGCAAGGAGCTTCTGCTCGCTGCTACCACCCAGCATCATGAGAGAAGATCACAAGAGAGGATGGTAGCACGTATCCCTGGCCTGAGCAAAGATCCCAACTCTGAATTCGAAGTGTGCTTCCTACGAACGCAAACTGCCTTTGTACCATCATAAAGTTGAAAAATCCTAAATCGAATCATCCCAAATCCGGAACTGTCTGTTCTTGAGATCAGTGCTACTTACCTGCCACTACAGTATCACAAAAAAAGCACTTCCCCAGAACACCTGCCTTGGTCAGTTTCTTTTGCGTATGATACCATGAATGCCTACCAGGTTCACTTACTTCCTGCTTCCAAAACTTGAATGCAATCCCAGGAAGTAACTTAGTCAACAGCTGCTCAGAGACTGTTCCCAGCTGATCAGCCACCCTACTTTTGAGTGCTGTGACCCCAGGACTGCCTTCTTGAACAGTGGGAGGTGCTTACAGTGCCCCGGGGGCACAGACCGCAGCTAGTCTACTCCTCAGGTGTTGGGCCGTGCCTTTCCTTTCTAAGTGCTCCCTCCTGACTTAGAAGGACCTTGCCTTCTTACAGCGACACTAAACGAACCTGACTCCTGTCTTGCAGGCAAAGAGCCAAGTCTGATCTTCACAAATCGAAGAGACATCCGGAAGATTGGCTTGGAGAGGAAGGAATATATCCAACTAGTGGAACAGCTAAGAAACACTGTAGCCCTTGATGCGGACATTGCTGCTCAGAAACTGTTCTGGGCTGATCTAAGTCAGAAGGCCATCTTCAGGTAACTTCAGTTCTCTGCTTAGCGTCTCAGCCTAAGCCTTGGTCTTTGTGAAGGCTTGGAGGAATTGCTAGCTCCACGCTAGCATCTAATTAGCTGGGACTCTTAAATCTGGACACTGATGGATTCTTCAACTATTAAGTTACTATCAGTTCCTCATTAGAGACTAACAATGGTGTATGGAGTACAAGGTGTCCGTAGCTGTAGGAGTATAAGAAAGGACATCTCACTTAGCAATGTGTCAGTCCTGCTTATCGAGTACCTCCCAGCAACTCAATAATGGACACTGTTATTTAGTATCAGTAAGAAGCATCATTAAATGATGTGAGGGGTGAGCTATGGTGTGACTCGAGTTTCTTCTGCACAAAGTTGTTGACCATTTTGTAAACAGCAAGTCCATTCTCTAGGCTCTGATGGTGTCAAACTCTTAAATGTCTTGTGACCTATTCTGTTTCAGTGCCTCAATTGATGACAAGGTTGGTAGACATATTAAAATGATCGACAATGTCTATAATCCTGCAGCCATCGCTGTTGATTGGGTGTACAAAACCATCTACTGGACTGATGTGGCTTCTAAGACTATTTCAGTAGCTACCCTGGATGGAACCAAGAGGAAGTTCCTGTTTAACTCGGACTTGCGGGAGCCCGCCTCCCTCGCTCTGGACCCACTGTCTGGGTGTGTAGTCTGTTTTTTCTAGCCTTTCGGTTGCTGTTCCTCCTGGCTGAAATAGTACTGAAACCCCAAGACTTACAGCTCCCTACAACAAAGAATTATCCAGTTCGAGAGGTCAGTGCTGTCATGGTCGAGTAAGTCTGCTCTCTTCCAGGCACCCCCGGCAGGATGAGCACTGACTGACAGTAAGGAAACATGTCTGACTTGACATACACACAGAAGTGGTGTCTGAACCCTTATGGCCACCAGCTTCTCTGCAAGTGATTTTTAATGTTTGTCCAAATGCTTTGCCAAACCTAAGGACTAGCACGCGTTGTGAGGATTTTGGTAGCCGTGTTACCTCAAGGCTTTCATCTAAATGTCCAAGTCGTCTGAAAGTCCAGTTGAAGTAAATGGATCTCTCTAGCAACATTTCACCAAGAGGCTCCCCTATGTGGGTGCTAAAGGCTATAGAAAAGCAGCTTAGGAAGTTGGTGGAGGCTCTAGCAATGACACCTGACCCCCAGAATCCTCGTGAGAACAGTCAGCCAAGCCCCTCGATAAGGCTTAACATATAGTCAACTTTCAGTCCTCTGAAAGAATTGGCCTTTTATAAAGGAAATATATAACCCGTGACTTGGGGTTGAAATATAATTCTCACACTTACATAGATTAATAGTGTTCATAATGAGCTTGTAGATTCTTAGTGTTACCTTTTTTTATCTGGAATATAATTTAGACCATTACCTGTTACTGTCGGTCTCCAGAGCTTTCCCGTCGTCGTTTAAATGTGTATCTCAAACTACAAATTTATTCCTTCTAAACCACTGAGGCTTCTTTCTCATTTAATTCTTCCTAGCTTTGTGTACTGGTCAGACTGGGGAGAACCAGCTAAAATAGAAAAAGCAGGAATGAATGGATTTGATAGGCGGCCCCTGGTGACAGTGGACATCCAGTGGCCTAATGGAATTACACTCGGTAAGTCTGTCCTTCCTTCCTTGGCCACCACCAAGGTGGCCACCATCTTGGCCAATGGTCTCCACAGCTTTTGCTTCCCTCCATAGTTTACTCTGGACTACAGCAGATGACAGCTCCCATGGTTCCTCGATAGCAAGAATTTGGGATGAGAGGAACTGAGCAGTGCAAATCGAATGCTGGGGCTTTCACAAATTAGACGCTCTATCATTACTAGCTTTTCTGTCCACTTGGGCCCAATACGGGACATAAATTCAATGCGTCTAGTCTGTCAAACTTTAAAAAATATTAAATTAAATTAAATTAAATTAAAAAAAATTCAATGCGTCTTGGGCCTTAAGAACTCTCATCAGGAAGAACAGCACACTCACCTCTCTTAACACTTCTCTAACGTGAGCACCATTTCTTAAGTCAGCTCCTTGGAGAATCTCAGGTGCTCCTTTAATCCCCTAGAAGAAGTGTGGGTCTAGACCCCACATGCTGCCTCATAAGATTTGTGGGACCCCCCCACCACCACTTTAGGAGCCCGTGCTGGAGAAGGAACCATGAGAATAGAATATTGGATTCCCTGGATATGTTCAGTGGAAGCCAGGGCGGTGATGGTGTCCCATGCGCTGACCATTCTTTTCCTCCCCAGACCTTATAAAGAGTCGTCTCTACTGGCTTGACTCCAAGTTGCACATGTTGTCCAGTGTGGACTTGAATGGCCAAGATCGCAGGATTGTCCTCAAGTCTCTGGAGTTCCTAGCTCACCCTCTTGCGCTGACAATATTTGAGGTGAGATGTGTGCGTCAGCTCCAAGCATCTACCTCTGGGTTCTTAGAGTGCCTCAGGGGAGAAAGGACAGGACAGGTGTGGGGCAAGGAGGGATGGGCAGAGGAGCATGACCCGAGAAACTGCTTCCACTTCAGACAGGGGGTAAAGTTGATGCTCACTTAAAGAAGCCTAAACTTGCATCTCCAATGGTGTGACATCCAACTTCCCAGACTGATGTGCAATAAGTTTGCGCCATTACATTGCCAGACAGTAAGGATGACCTTAGATACAGACTTGTGTTAATCCCGCTAATCTGGGGGTTCTGTTTTAGGATCGTGTCTACTGGATAGATGGAGAAAATGAAGCCGTCTACGGTGCCAATAAATTCACTGGGTCAGAGCTGGCCACTCTGGTCAACAACCTTAATGATGCCCAAGACATCATTGTGTATCACGAACTCGTGCAGCCATCAGGTAACGGGGACAAGCACAGCCCTCCATCCACAAGGCCACTGTAGGGACAGCAGCGTGGCCTAGTACTTGCCGGGCTACCAGGAGCTCTTTAATATGTCATCCTGCCCTACAACGGGACTCTCCCGTCCAGTCCCCTACCTCAAACACATCAAACGTGGTGTTTCATTTTGTTTTGTTTGCATTTCTGACTTCCTAGTGAAAGAGCTTTCAGAACTTCAGCTCTCCCTTCCCAGCCCCGGCACGCAGTCTTTTATTCCAGGCTTTTCCATACCTCCTGGACTTCATTCCCTTGTACGCAGACTCTTGCACTATCCTCCCAAGGAGCTTTTATGCCACAAGCTTTCCCTACCTCCCGCTGATGACACATCTTCTGTGTAGATACCCAAACCCATCTATTTGGTCACACCAGCTCCTGCTCGAACTACTTGCCTGGTTCTTTCTAAAGGAAACCCGTCAGCCTCCCTTTGGCTGGGTTCTGCAAGACCAAGCGAAGACCAAGGAGGACATGCTTTTCTCCTTCCCCTGAGTCTTCACTCTAAGCTTTGGGTCCTTAATGGGTGCCTCCTGCCTCCTCACCACACCCCTGTTCCAGGCATAATCCCGATACCGCTTTCCAGAAATTTCTTTGGATCTGTGGTATCCTGAGGGCATGTTGCCTGTCCCTGTATTTCTTCATTGTATTGAACCTGAAGGTTGGACAGAGGAGACAAGCGTCATCTCCCTGGGGACAAGGACTCATGTCTCCAGCCTCTAGAAGAGGGCTTTATGTACAGTAGGCACCAGAATCCCTCTTTTAAAGGATTTTTATCTCCAAACAGGTAAAAACTGGTGTGAAGAAGACATGCCCAATGGAGGCTGTGAATACCTGTGCCTGCCGGCCCCACAGATTAACGATCACTCTCCAAAGTACACCTGTTCCTGTCCCAATGGGTACAGGCTAGACGAGAACGGCCGGGAGTGCCACAGTAAGGCTTTTTACTTTTCAGCCACAAGCAGGGCCTAACGACGGGCAGAAGAGTAAGGCACTAATGAAAAAACTAGCCCAGATGTTAAGAATTCTGCTTTCACCGATGCTTGGAGTAGACTTGAGAGCCTACCTGCTGCCACTGCTAGCCAGGCTGTTGGCATCATTCCCTCCCAACTGCTTCTCACTCACTGCAGCACTGGGGAGTCGGTAGGTGACCACGGTGTGAACGGGACCGGCCTGACGTGTCCCGGTTAGTCCCGCAACAGCACTGAGCTGGCCGACTTGCAGATCATTGAAGTCTTAGTGTTTCTCCTCCAGAGCGAGAGAGGCTATGGGTACAGGAAACCTTATGGCCCCTGTGGGCGATACCATCCTAAACTCACACTTAAACCCACCTTGATTTTCATCTTCCATTCTTAGCTTTTGATTGAGTGGCCAATTAAACACCCCTGTTGGGAGCAAGGAGCTCCTCTGTGAGGTTTTTATTAGCTTAATGCAGCGTCCCTGCAGGGATGAGCTCGGTTTACTGAGAAAGTAATTGCTAAGACCATCTGACAGTAAGACGAGTGTGTCTGATACTCTGTTGTCGAGAGCATTTCTGGTAACTTCCAGGACGGTGCCGGGAGGGGTAGGTGTGGCCGTGCACCTCTTTGAATTGTCAGATTCCACATGCTCACTATTTGGTCCCACATCTCGTGTGTCTGGTTTTGCACGAAGACTTCCTTTTGGCTCTGACCACGCAACTTAGCTCAGCAGTGATCTCTGTTTCCCGTGGGGTTGACATAACCTGTCGAGTGGTTTCTCTGGATGAAACAGCTAGCCGCCCTGGAACCTTGGCCTTAACCAGGTTCTCAGTCTCTATAATGCAGGTTCTGCAACTCCTGTGACTTACAGTGAGACAAAAGGTATCCACACAACAGAAATTTCACCAACTACTGGACTAGTTCCTGGAGGTACTAGGCCCAGTACTGCACACTGTGAATCTCAACTAACAGCCACACTTTTTGTATTTATTGCTTCAGTAATTCATGCAGCCCTGTAACCACTAGCTCTGCCCCTAGCTGGTAACCTACACCTCAGCTCCAAAGCCCGAAAGTCTGACATTCTTCATCTGACCCGACCTAACGAAGGTTCCTACTAGAAACAGCTGTTCGAGCATGTGACTCTCCAATCCTTCCGGACTGGTTGTGCCTGGTGGGCAAAGCAGTAGGCACTGACCCGCAGTCATGGGTGCCAGGGGCAAAAGGTGCTTGTCTGGATGGGACTGTTTCTAAGTCTGAATTCATATCTGTCTACATGGATTTCTTTCATTCTCCTGTAGGGATCAATGTGACCACAGCCGTATCTGAGGCCACTGTCCCCCCGAGAGGCACGTCTGCTGCCTGGGCCATCCTTCCTCTCTGTAAGTACCTCCCCACATATCTGGATAGACTTGTTAGATGCCCAGCAGATGGGCATTTCGAATCCATCTAGAGACACCGCTCCCACGGTCACAGGGTCCGTGACCCTGATTACGTTCGCTCCCTCCCCAGCCTGGCACGGAGTTGAGTTCAAACCTTGCTCTTTGGTGGCATCCTTGGCACTGTGAGGGACAGCGATAAACACTCACATATTACATAAAAGGTGCCGACTACACTCTATATCAGGGCCATTAGTCTGACTCAGTACATTCCTTTAGGTGAAGAGCACTGTTTTCTTCCCTTTAGAAAGGTGTAGAATGCTTCATACAGAGGAGACACGCAGATGCTTCAATGCTTTCTTGAGGAGTTATAGGACTTGCAGAGGGTAAATTAAAAATAGGAAAGAATCCTCAAACTCAGGGGAAAGAACCTCTAGAGCAGTGACTGGGCATGGGAATTCTAAGGCCCTGTGCTATAATGGCCACTTTGTCCTGGAAGACTGGAGTCCAAGCTTTACTAATACACCGGGGGGAGGGGGGTGCAATTTGAAAAGCTCTCCAGAAACTTCTGAAATTTTCATTCAGTTGGCCTGCACTGGGGCCCGGGACTCTACACTCGCCTAAATGGACGTTGTTGAGCTTAGCACCAGGCCACAGAAGAATACTTGACCACAGGTCTGAACTTGTTTTAAGCTTCTGGCCCATTTATAGTTTAACACCTAGTTATGCTGGCTTCCTACAACGTGAAATATTTATTGATGTCAAGTCTCATGGATTCCTGACCATGACCTCATTTTGTATGTTTTGAGACTAGACCCTGCTTAGTCACCTTCTCACTCTTCCTCAGTGCTCTTGGCAATGGCGGCAGTAGGTGGCTACTTGATGTGGCGAAACTGGCAGCACAAGAACATGAAAAGCATGAACTTTGACAATCCTGTGTACTTGAAGACTACTGAAGAGGACCTGTCAATAGACATTGGGAGACACAGTGCTTCTGTTGGACACACGTACCCAGCAGTAAGTCAGCTTCGGGTCTTGATACACTCTGGCTTGCAGTAGGACTTTCTGGAAAGGAGACTGCTAATTCAAGCTACGGCTTCTTGGGCTAGGAAGAGCCATTAGGATCACAGAGCCACCAAATAAATCTACTACCCCTGGAGATTAGACAGTCTAGCCTGTTGGGATGCATGTCAGTCCGTAGATAAGCATCTGTCCCAGAATGACAAGTAAGTCAACCTAAGGTCTTCACTATACTGTTGGAGATATTTTTGGTTATAGAAACTCTGTGTGAATAATAGGATGAACCAAGTGGCTCCTACTTGGACTGTCAAGTCAGCTATCTCCTGGACACTTAAAAGTTTGCATGTCCTCCTATACAGGGGAGTTGGCTTAAAGTCAGTGTATTGAGCAAGATTCCGTTAACCATCATTACCAAATGCTTGAAAGTGGCCTATCCGGCCTACTGTAGCTCACTTCCTTTCAGCAGGAGAGTTAGTCCCTTGTTCTTCAGTTGAAACCCGACTGGAGTATTGGGCCTTCACTTAGGGAACAGTCTGAAAAAAAACAAGTGCTCAGTGCTCCCTCTCAAGCTGTCTGGTGAATCAAAGAACAGCGGTCCGTTCATGGCCCGCACGTGTCTTTTCCCCATTGTTCTTCAGGATTTAAGATCATTCAGTGGAATGGCAGCATCAGCTCCATGATTTTCTCTCTCCCCCAAGTAGATACCATTGAATTCAAGTGAAAATGCCTCAGTGACACAACTCAGTACTGCTTTAGATCGGACTTCCCTTCCATGTCCCTTTGGTCTTTGGTTGACCAACTCAAAAGCAAGGTCCATTTGGGAGACTGGAGTTACCATTACCAATGAACGGTCACCAAGCTCATCCTGTACTTTTTCTCTTCCACAGATATCAGTTGTAAGCACAGACGATGACCTAGCTTGACTTCAGAGACGAGTCTTGACCTCTGAGGTCTAAAACCAATAACCCTCCACTTCGAAATGGTAACCAAGCCAGCACCTGAAGTCTTTCTTCCTCCATTCTGGAAGAACATCAAGATGTCTTTACGTGGATCAAGCTTGTATACTTGACCATTTTTATATTACTTTTGTAAATATTCCTGTCCACATTCTACTTCAGCTTTGGATATGGTTACCAAGTATCTAACCTTGAGTTTCTAGACAGTATTGCCACATCTGGCCAAATATGCACTTTCCCTAGAAAGCCATAGTCCAGCAATGACCCTTGTGCTATAAGTGTACACCATCTGTACAGACATTGTATAGGCCATCTGTAAATATCCCAGAGAACAATCACTATTCTTAAGCACTTTGAAAATATTTCTATGTAAATTATTGTAAACTTTTTCAATGGTTGGGACAATGGCAATAGGATAAAACGGGTTACTAAGATGAAATTGCCAAAAAATTTGTAAACTAATTTTGTACGTATGAATGAAATCTTTGACCTCCGTGGAGGTTAGTAAAGACTGAGTGTTCAAACTACTGTACATTTCTTTTTCACGTGCTAAAACAATTAAACCAAGCAGCTTAACCATGGTTTCTGCCTATTCCTCCAGGAAAAATTTCTGTTGATGGCCTGAGTAGTAGCAAGCATTCTAAGTATATGAGCTAGATAATACAAATCAAGTATATGAGTACAGACCTTGATGTTGCATAACTAGGCTTATAAATTGGCTAGTTTCTCTTAGAACCAAGTACTAAAAGAACAAAGTACCATTTAATATTTGCTCCTGAAATATTTATTTTTGGTTAAAGAAGCTAGCTTAGCCTGTACCTAGAATTCCTCTAGGAGGAATTTAGAGGCAAGTTCCTTTTCTGACTCATTTGTTTCCTGACCTAGAAACCTATGTTAAGATTTCTAGCAATTCTGCTTCTTCATTCCTAAGTCTCTGTTTTCCATGTTCTGTCATTATATGTAGCTCCAGGACAGTGGAAATTTCACAGAAATGGAAATTTCATGGAAAATCTGTAGTAGCTTCCCATTTTTCAGTCTGGCTGGCATACAATCCTTCTGTGGACAATGTCTGAAACTCTTAGTATGAAGAACAGATAAGAAATTTGGGCAGAAGAAACAGGAGCACAGGGCTTTAAATAAGTTTTCCATCAGATTGGCCATTACTGCCTTTCCCTAAAATCTCAGGATGTGAGCAAACAAGGGAAGACATGAGATTTGGAGCCCTGGGAAGATGCTTTAATTTCAACAGGAGAGGGGAGGGAGTCTGCTATAGATGTGACTCCTCTTGGAACTCACTGACCAATGCAGGAGCAAAAGGATGAAGAGATCCTCTGAGTAACTAAAGGGTTGGGTGGGTGACTCCTATTCTGCTTGGGCATGGAATATAAGTAAGGCAGTTGACACCTTGCTTGTGGTTCAGGTGGAGACCAATGATCTTAGAGGAAGCTGCTTCTGCCATATTGTTTCATAGACACCCTGTTGTGATTTTGGTCAAATCGATGAAAGTGAAAGAATAAGCATGGTTTGGGTTTTTTGGGGGCACGGGGGGGCGGGCAGCGTGTGCAAGTCTGGCGTATAGCTGTGAAGGAAGAACTCTGTGTTTTCCCCCTTTTGCTTCCTTTTCAAAAAGTCATTACACTAAACAGGTTGTGGCCTGCTGACACAGGGTATCAGAAGTGCCCCTTGTGGTAAGTAGGTTCGTGTTCATTGAATCTCAACTCTGAAGGCCATTTGGTTGACTAGTACTTTGACCCTGCTCTGAAACAAAACCCAACTATTTCTTTTTTTAATCGGAGCAACACAAAATTCCCACTTAGGAAGCTTGAAGATAGCAGTGCATTCCCCCATTACAAGGACTGTATAGTATTAATGTCGAGGCCCAAAGCCATAGTTTTTAAGAATAAAATCAAGCATTATTCTCTACCGTCTTCTCTCAGATTCCAGTCCTTGCTATGTTCTTTTAAGTTCTAGGTCCCACTCTCCAACCTTCAAAGAGTCTCAAGTATTTCCTTCTTTGACCTTGCCCTACACCAAGTAGCTAAGAACAGAAACTCTACCTGAAGAGTTGAAAAAATCAAGTAACTAGATATTTCTACTGAAATCAGAATAGGTAATACGACTAGTTAATTCAGCACGTACAATAGTTCATGATGAACTAGAGCCTTGGGCTTCAGTATCCAAATAATAATAAGAATCCTACATGAAACATACAGGTGTAAATTTGCTGTATCTGTATAGTTTACTAGAGAAGATGAGAATTGGTTAAGAGGTAGAATAGGAAGCTTATCTAACACTAAGAGAGGGTGTTTGGAGTTAAATGTGTTATACAAAGTCACTGAATGTGGGTCCTCCATGGACTTTAGGAATTGCTACAAAGTTTGATAAAAGATGAGTAAACAAATTTGTGACACCTGGTAAAGAAATCCGGCTGAGTCCCTGAGTCCAAACTCTTAAGTGACATGTACAAGCTATCTATTTGGCAAAAAAAGAATCCCAGCTCCCTGAAGACATTCTTACAGCTAAATTAGACCCATGGCATCATCCTCAAGCCTATGGTGTTCTAGTCTTGATGAACACAAGGCGAAAAAGAAAGAGACAGACTTCAGCTTTGGCACTTACTTATCTTCCTTGTATCTTTGGAAGTCAGATAGCCCTTCTCAAAAAAAAAAAAAAAAATGACAAGACAGGCTTTGAATAGCAAAACTATAGGACAATTCAAGAACGAACTCTTTAATACTGAGAAATGGGAGAACTGAAGTATACCTTTTAACTATCCTCACCCCCAAAGCAAAAGATTTTGTGGGAGCATTCTGTGTCATGGAGCATGACTCGAGGAATTTCCTAGAATTCTTACCTAGTGAAGACCCCAAACAGAAGCTGGAATCCTTGATTTCAGTGGCAGGGAAACTCACAAGAGGCATATGCACTTTTGCTCTGATAACTTAGGTCCAAAAAATTAGAATACAACCTGCTAGTCTTGATCACTCAATTTGAGCTCCTCAGTTTCATCATCAAGGATCCAGCTTGACTCTTAGGGGAAAATTTGGAATTCTATGTTCACCATGGACCTAAACTGTGGAGGTTTAAGAATACACAGAAGTAGAAAAGTCTTCAAATATACCTTGTTTCCAAATATAGGGGACGTTTTTGTGCGTACACCACCCTTGTCTGCTTTCGTAGATCAAAAGCTGAATGAGAGTTATCAGTGGGGGTCCACAGTTAGGTTATTAAGGAACAGATTACAGAAGTGTCTCAACTCTCTATTGTCTCTCCCAAATCCGTTGAGCATTTCCAAGCCTGGTTCATTCAGGAAACAAGGATGTAGTAGACTACTGACTGAAAGTCTCTCTGTAAACCTTCCACCCAGGGTTGTAGAAGCCAGCATCAAACAGGCTGAAGGTGGGGTACAGGCTCTTCAGGGGACCCTGGGCCGGTCGATAGTTTTCTTTTTCATTGTGCTTATGGGGCAAGTGAGATTATCAGCAAGGAAGTTCCCAAGCATGGACTCTGGTGTCAGGCTTGATGTGGTAGCTTGGGCAAGCTCCTGATCCCCTCAGTAAATGGACCTGATGGCGACGGTGTTGCCGTGCCACAGCGAGGGTTAAGGAGAATGCAGACAAGTGCTCAGCATGGTGTCAGGCATCTAGTGGGTCCAAAGCAAGTGTTAACTGCTGGAGATCACTCTCCAGCCAATGCCTCTCTCTGTATTCGTTGTGGCATGACCTAGAAACTGGCATGTGACTTTACCAGTGAGAGTTACAGTAACCTGACTCATTATTGAGCGTAGCATGCATTAGACCTTGACCCAAGGGTTTTCCGCTACACCTGTCTGATAGGATCTAAGTGTGACATTCAGGTAGTGACATCACCTTTATATGGTTAAAAAAAAAAAGGTTCAAGGGTTACATGATTTAAACCCTAGACATGTAGCCAGTGTGTTTCTGTCCCAACCTTTGACTTTGCTGTCTGGAACATGGAAACAAATACTTGGTGGCCTACACAGTCTTTAGATGGCAGCTAAAGCACCTTGAATCTCCCTTAATTTCTTACTAGTTTAATAGTGTGCTATTTTATTTAATCTTTACAACAACCTAAATAGGTAAGTGTCTTCATTTTATAGATGTGAAAAATGAGACCACAGATGGCATAGGGATTCCAAACCCTACGTGCTCACTGCCATTACCGCTCAGAAAAGGAGGCAGAGCTGTGTAAAGGTTAAGCTGGACATCACACTACATGTTTGCAGAGTCCCCATTTCTGCTGACGGAAGCGTCCTTCAGCAGTCTCCCTGTGTCTCAGATGCCCTCAATGGCTGGCATCCAATATGGCAGCTCACTGAAAGACTAACACCAGCACTACATCAGGTCGGCGCAGAAGAACGTTGTTGGTTCTGTGCCCATGCCTCGAGATGCCAGAAGTTCCAGAATTGTTCTCCTTGTGAAGTAGAAGTAGACTACTGGATTGCAAAGTAAAAGAAGAAGACCCCCTGATGGAGTTTATGGACATGCGACATCCCTCCCGTATGTAAAGATACTGGGGAAACAAGCTGTATCACGACCAGTCCTCCATCTTAAAGCTCTCGTAAGGAAAGACGCGCCCAAGACAATGGGGAGAGCTGTGACTTGGGACAAGTGACAGACAGATCTTAGCTATTCTGGAATCGACCCCTGAGACCTGCTTATGTCTCAACTTATACACACGTGCGGGGGGTGGGGTGGAGAATTCTTCGCGTAAAATGACTGGCTTTGAAAAACTATCTGGCCCCTTTTAAAATGTCACTCAATACCAAAATGTGACTTCAGAGCATGTAATGCCTCAGGAGCCCAGAGCGTACAACCACATTACCGTGCTCAGGATCTTCAGAATTCTAGAAACATACGTTGGAATGTGTCTAGTCCTGCTGACCTGTAGATAAGCGTTTTTCTTTCATTAATGAACTGTACATGTAACTTAAATAAAAGTTTATTTTTGAGATGACTGCCATAAGCCTTTCCTTTTTCTACACAACTTTTCAAAAAGCTCTTCCTCAAATCTTTTTTCCTCTTTGCAACTGGATCACTGAAGACGGCTCAGTCACCTCTTTCTAGAAAACAGCTCAGGTCACCAAGATCTGGACTCGTCAAGATGAAAGGATAGGAGATGTCCCTTTCCTGCCATACTTAGAAGTACAGTTAGTGTCTCACTAGAGGTAGCCAAAACATCACCCTCCCATGCTCTTCCTTTCCACTCCTCCCATGGAGGGAAGGAAAATCGAAGCTACTATTATCAGGCAATGTGAGGCCAGAGCCTCCTCCCTGCTCCCTGTGGGTGACAGAGTCTAAACACGCTTCCTGACCAAAGGGAGGAAGCTCCAAAGGCAGGACAAGACAAGCCTTGACAAGCCAGTAAAATCATTTTGATACTTTTTCCCCTCATCAGTTCTTAAGGGCTTTGTGTTGAAATTCATGTAGGAGATTGGGAGAAGGAGAGAAGTGAGTTGGGGGAAATCAGAGGGGAAGAGATGAGACTGTGGACTCTGAGAAACAAACTGAAGGTTTTGGAGGGGAAGGGGGTAAGGGTTGGGTGAGCCTGGTGG